AATCGAATCGGCCTTTGGTACACATATTGGTCATTGGGTTGATAGTCTTTTTCGTAAATCTCATCAACATCTATCCCTTCTTGCAATAATAATGCGCAATTTTCGAAAATTTATTTTTCCGCGTTCGACCTTTATTTTACAGTTAACAAATTGGTGAAATGTGACTTTAGTTATCTTAAGTTATAGATAATTTAATCGTCTACGACATAAAATAACTAATTTTCTGATAGGTCGTCTAGATTTTCATGGACAGTAAAGAAAAAGTTAAAAAACACGTAATTTTGCCACTTACTTCTAATTTGCCAAATTAGCGTCACTTCTTTCGAGTTAGTTTTTCAGGATTTATGGTCTAATTCAACTGGACTATGCAGAAACAGGATACTTACGTAATATGCTAATAAAATATATTACAGAAGAAAACCAAAAGTCAAATCATTGAGCCTCTAATTTTTTTCTGTAATTAATATATTCTGATGTTGAAAGTATTAAGTCCGTGACATGAAAACAATATAAACAAACAACTTGTTTCAGTATTTGCTGATTCAAAGTAAATTACAATTCTTCAAACTTTTCTCATCGTTTAACAAAATCAACTTCGTGGTTATTATAGAGGTACATGTGTCATCGTTTTACCTACATCGAGACATTCTTTTTTTAGAGTTCTCAGTCTACGCTCCTCAGCTATTAATACCGCGCGAAAAAAATCCGGAATGTAGGTGTCACAAAATCGTACTCTAAACGGATGCCACTGACATTTCAATGAGAATAAAGCAAATACATTTACGAAAATGAATCTAAAATTATTCACGGTATGCACAGCTTTCAATAGTCGTTAAAAACCAATATACATCGCTTGATCATGTAATTAACGAAACAATGGCCGGTTTGTTACAATATTTAAGTGGTGACCTCTTTGCGTGCCATTTGTAATTAGTAGAACGGATCCGCAATACACGGAGAAATCGCTATCGGGGGCAAAATACAAAATCATGCCTAATTTTAAGTAAACCCTTTTCTGATAAAACAAACCTTACTTCACAACTTTGTTGTGGCTAATTGTACCCTCTCGACAGCCTGTACCTAGTCCCTATCGACTACATACTATTTTAGAACTAATCTAGCGTGATCTTATCTCATTTTGGACTTCGCCACTGGAGTTACAAAAAAAATTTGCCTATCGATAGTCGTGCTTCCCGTGTCTACAAAACTCATTCAACTGTTTCAAAATAAACACCCACGAGGCGTTCGAAACAATGAAACGATCTCGATAGCGATAAGATCTTTTGTAATGCAAGGTCGAGAATAGGTAGCGTTTCGAAAACCGACGGGATCTGGTTCAGGAACTTCGGAAATCGGGTTGGCATTGATGGAAAACACTTCACAAAACTTTATTTTTGTTTTAACAGCTCTAGAACACACGCATTCTTTAGATAAACGATGCTGGTGACAAGAGAGGCGACCTTGGTTTGGAGCAGTGGATTACTGAGTTTATATGCTATTGAACTTGATTTTTATCGAAGTACGGATGACATTTCATATTTAAAAAATATTTAAAAAAATGCACACGAGATTACTTTTCACCCAAATCTATTGCGGCGTCCTTTAGGGGTGCCAGACTTTACACCGCTTGAATTTCGGCGATTTCTCACCAAAATTCTTAAAAACAACTGACAATAATTCATTTTTACTTTAAGAATTGTCCTTGACGACCTTGAGGAGTGAAACAGTCAACCCCATTGCAATATTTTGCGCCTGCACATAGTACACTTGCCGTTAGATAATGGTTAAATTTAAATTACCCGAATCGTTGGATTGGTCGTGGTCGTGATACCCCTGTTTGTTGGCGTGCACGTTCACCTGACCTAACGTCTATGGATTTCTTTTTGTGGGGATACATAAAAAGTATTGTTTATGACACTCCTGTTGCCTCCTTAGAAGAATATTTCAGGCAGCAGATGACCTTCGCAGTAACCAAGAACTGTTTGTGCGAGTGCATTATAACTTCAACAGGCGTATTAGGTTATGCTTGTAGCAAAATGGAAATTATTTCCAGAATATTCTTTAGATTTAATTTTGCATTTCTTGTTTTTCGTTTGTATTAAATTTTATTTCAGATAAATAACTTTATCTAATACATGTCCCATAGTTATCAAACATTTTTCATTAATTAATAGCAAATTACTCTTAATGTTTTTATTAAATTACCAGCTTATTGACAGAAAGTGTCAATTTATTAATATGATAAATAACAATTTATTTGTTATGACGCCCGCCTACTTTATTTTTACAAATATTCGCAATTACCCTTTTAGTGAACGATGACGGATCTAATATTTCTAATAAAATATTGCAATGGTGTCGACTGTTTCACTCCTTTATAAGATACGCCAATGATCGAAAAAATATTGAAAAGTTGTCTCTTTATTAGTAGGATGCTCATACCAAGTTTCGTGTCTCCATGTTAAAGAAAACAAATTAAAATGTGAATTTCAATCCCCTCCTTTAAGAGGGTATATCGCGTCGGGGGTGCAACTTTCATTTAAGGTATTTTTACTTCAATCCTCTTATTTTTGGCTCTACATTCACTGGTACCATTTTTGCTACTTGATTTAAAAACACCCTGTATATAGGTATGTGCGTATATAAAAATGTATCTCAATTTTGCACTTGTAACATTAGATAAGTTGTAGGTAGTTACAATTAGTATATCAATCTGGATACAGCAATAGTTTAATTTTGGTATTTATTTCAGTTTTACATAAGCACATATTGAAGAAAAATATGTAATGTAATAATAATCTATCAATTTTAAATCAGCATGTATTAATATGATTTTAAGTCAACGCGAAAAATCAATCATGCAATATTATTTCATCAATTATATTTTATCATTAAATCATTATCTGGAAGGAGCAATTTATATTTGATTCAATGAAATGATCAGTTTAATTTCCAGTGGTAGAAATATACGAGGCATATCCACAAAGTAAGAGTAGGTAATTTTTTAAAAACGGCAGCATATTTTTGAAAAATTTATAGATTCATAAAGGTACATCCATCCATAAACACCTTCAGATAAGTGAAAATATGAAAATCAAAGGATGCCAGGCCAGGCCTGTGAGCAGGATCGTTGATTATGTCCAACCGAATGAATCCAAGAATTGCTTTGTAGCGTTGGCTGCATGGGGACGTGCATTGTCATGCAACAAGCACACTTCATTCGTTATAATTCACCCTCTTCTATTCTGTATCGCCCTCCGTAGTATTTTCAGGGTTTTACAGTACCGCGCAGCATTAATTGCTTCCCCCTGGGGCGAAAAGTCAATGAGGAGAATCAGTTTACGGTCCCAAAATACAGTTGCCAAGATTTTTGAGGCTGAAAACGGATGTCGCCACTGTATTGATTGTCTTTTCGTGTCAGGGGTGTAGTGGGCCACCCTCGTTTCGTCGCGTCACAATACAGTCATTCACCTCATTTCAACACGCCGCTACAACAACAGTTCTCAACCAACAGACAAATGAGGGTGCTTCTGTTCACAACGCCTTGGCCTTGGATGCAGTGTTGCCAACATTATCGGAAACAAAAACAACAGAGCATCAGAGTCTCAGTACTCTTACTTTGTGGATATGCCCCGTATTTACGATAGGAACTATAACTATGTTCGAGGCATACTAGAGTGTAGTATTGGTTTAAAATTAATTTTTTCTCATAATTCGTTCTTATCGACGGTTGAAAATACGTTTACGACGATTACAGTTCAAAAAACTTCTGGAACATGTAAAACACCCAGAATTTCGAAGGGCGTTAACATTATTCAGAGTTCATGGAAACCTGACACGGGTCTGGGCACTTTCTGTCAAATAAACAAAACGTTTCTAGTGTCTGGACTAGCAAGAAACAAAGTAAAGTGCGTCTGTCATCAAAAATTTTCAAGGATTCAGCTAAACTAGCTATATAGGGTCGAGGTAGATGAACAGGCTACACGTGTGGCGATATTTTGGTACACCGGGATTATCAATGAAAAAAATACACACACGGGTTTTGTCAAGGACACGTACAGGTGCCAATTTTTTTAATTACGCCTACCTGCATCAAAATTCCCCTATTGTTTTGGATTCCTATTACATAAATAGTTTTTTAATTTAAATTTTCACAATCATTCACCAAGAGATACAAATTTGGCCCTCAATCTGTTGGTGCTTTAAAAGCCCCTCAATTTTTTTCATATCTAAAATTTAAGCAAAGTGGAACACAGTTTATAAGTGTATTTGAAAGAAAAAAAAACATTAAAAGCCAAGTACGTTAAATGACGATTCCCACTGGTTATAGCATAACGAACCGAAAATATCCAGATTTATTTCAAATATGTGTCTCACTTTCTAAATATACAAACCGCTGGGTAATTATACAATTTTTTTACGACCAATAAAACCCCGAGTTTACTTTCGGATGTCAAACAATTCACGAGGTGATTTTTCAAGAGATTTGCGTCAAGTGTACCCATATTTCGGGAAGCAACCGGACTATGTGGGTTCTGTTCTGTTTTCGAAAGCTACATGGAAAAACGCTAATTGTAAAATATTATAATGACTAACGCTTTAGTTTTAATTTATTTAAAACTATAGAATCGTAATTATGTCTTCATTTGTTTGCCGACGGGTTGTCTAGGGAATAGCTGCCGATATCAACCGGTCTAGCTACAATTTATTGCAAATAATTACAGTAATACTGTAAAAGTCGACCTTCAGTGTATTTAAAATAAATATAAGATTATAATGTATTTGTTTCTACTACTACTACTATACTCTATTTTTAAACTAGGAGAAGCGATTTGAATATTGCGCCCCAAAATATTGGTTTCTTATTGGTTAATTTCGAGCCCACTTTACACTACTAATAAATTTTACATTTTGACATTTGTTGTCATTTTGCCTCTTAGTTATCATCAGTTTGTTGTCATTGTGTTTTTACCTGCTTTTCTATCTATTTATTATCCCAGTTACGTATAAATCAGTTCTTATCAGAACTAAACAACTTATTATATTGTTTATCATCCGTTTTTTCCAATTTTCCATTGGATATGGATGATGCTGTGCCGACCACGAGTAAGGCAGGCGCGGGAATTACATCGCCGTCGCCCCCAAGGAAACGAAAACAACTCAGTTTGGGGCATTTGTCTCTGGCAGAAAAGCAAGCAATATTGAATTTGTACAAGAAAAGCCTAGATGATGAACCTACTCTTAAAACTGTCCAACTTGTATCCAAAATAGCGATGACATTAGGTAAATTTATGTTAACATTATTCTGTTGAACTATATTACACATTATACTTTTTTAGGTGTTGCAAAATCAACAGTATATCGAGCCATAAAACAGTATAAATCTACTGGAAGGGTGTCTACTTCCAAACACTGTGGTGGAAGACCTGGGATTGTTACATGTTTGGATGAAGCAATGAAGAATTCCATAAGGCGTATAGTACACAGCTTTTTCTTTAAAAATGAGATCCCCACTTTGGACAAAATATTAACCGAAATAAAAAGTCGTCAGGATTTGCCACAGATGTCCCGTTCATCATTATACAAATTTATGAAACAAATTAATTTCAAGTAAGGTTGAAGACATATCTCGGAGCAAGTATAATTGCAATAAAAACATTTTATTTTTTTTGCAGATACTTAAAACGAAGTCGTAAAAGTGTGTTGATAGAACGTGATGATATAGTGAGATGGAGACTTGACTACTTGATATCAATTAAAAAGTTTAGATCTGAAGGTAGACCTATTTATTATTTAGATGAAACATGGTTAAATGAAGGTCATACAAAAGAAAGGGTATGGGTTGATACTAATATTAAAAATAAACGTGAGGCATTCAATGAAGGGCTGTCTATGGGATTAAAAAACCGTCCGGTAAAGGAAAGCGTCTTATCATCTTACACGCTGGCTCAGAGGAAGGATTTGTTGAAGATTCGTTATTGGTTTTCGAAGGCAAGAAGAGTGGGGATTATCACGAGTAAATGAATGCAAATGTATTTGAAAAGTGGTTTTCTGAATTTTTGAAAAAAATATCAGATAATTCTGTTATTGTAATGGACAATGCAAAAAAAGAAAATAAAGTTGTCTTACGATTACCGCCATATCATTGTGAATTAAACCCTATAGAATTGATTTGGGCACAGGTGAAGAATGAAGTGGCAAGCAAAAATAAAACATATAAATTGAAGGGCGTAAAGGAACTACTAATAGAGGCTCTTAACAAATATAAACTGGAAAAAATGTGTAGAACATGTGTTTAAGGAAGAAGAAAAAATGGGAACACTTGACGAAATTATGGACGATCTCATTGAACCTTTAATCATATCAATTAATAATAGCGAGAGTGATATGGATACTGACTCATCAAATAATTCAGAAAATTGCTAAAGACAGGATTTGTCCCTCATTTTTACCAATAATATAAATTATAAAAACTTATTTTGTTACTTTGAATACCTGCAGATGATATATTACGAACGATGTTCAGTTATCAGTTATTTGTCAATTATCCGGTAACTTAATAAATGTAGTTCATAGAAATGCAACAATTCAAAGTAACAAAAACACCATTGTATGTTTACTCCAATGCTAAGTGTAAAAATGTGAATCAATAAAAAAATTTTTTAAAATGAAAACTATAATCAATCATTTATATATGTTTGGTTTGTAGTATATTATTTCATTCATATTCAGATTTTCAATGTTATGTAGTAAGTACTTACCTACCTACTTTAAAAATTTATATATAAAAGTTAAATAAACCTAGAATTAGATATTTATGCATTGCACATGCAATGAAAGCTTATTGTACTCAAAATGAGGTTAAACACTTGCAGTGAGTATATACTTGATAGTCTGATGCTATCTGGGGTAGTTTTTAGTAACATTTACAGTGTAAATCTGTCTTTGGCATTCACTCCTTTTAGTTTAAAATATACTATACTACTATTGAATTTCACGAAATATGTAGATCAAGGAAGCCTGGAAAAGTCGAGGAAACTTTAAAGCAGGATTATATCGTTTATTTTTGCTCAATCAAAGTGCATATATACCTAAAGCCCAACTCCAAGAAAAAAAAACGTTACACGTGACCGAGAGGTCCACATTTTCCACATTTCTGTTTGCAAACCGCCTCCCACGCCAGACGCAGTCGACTATCCCGAATTTTAGTGTATCTATCACTTAGTGTCGACGAAAATGCTTTTGGAAACACGTCCAAACTGTCAATCTAGGAGCCGTGCCGTTGCCAAATGCTACGGATCGTTTTCTTATTTTGGTAATTTTGCTAGATGAATGACGTTGCCATGGTCACTATGATGTATGTTCTGAGTAAAGGATTTTTACTGTTATAAGAAGTGTAATTATATCGAATTTGTCCCAAAATAGACATGCGTAACTACTATAGTTCCTATAACATCTTAAAAAAGTTCGGTCGTTCGTTCACCTATTAAAAAAATATTGCTATAATGTGAAAAGTTGTTATAGATTCAATGAGTTTGGAATTATTACAGGATTACTTAAATTTCAGTGGGAACGACATTTATATATCAGCTAAGAATACTTAATCTGTGTAATCTCATTCGTCCACCTATTGGTTAAAAAAGTTGCGTCTGTTTGGTGTTTGTGCCCCAATCTCATATTCAAAGTTAATATGAAAGACATCGGTACTTTCACTGTGCATAGAAGATGCCCCATGAGAAAGTGCACAAATTTTAAAGGACACTTCTCTGATAAGCAAAAAAGTTTATATCGACGCTTTAGTACGAAAACATGCTATCTCAGATTTCGATTGGAAAACATGCTATCTCAAATTTCATTTGGAAAACATGCTATCTCAAATTAAGCTTGGAAAACATGCTAACTCAGATCTTTAGGTAAAAACATGCTATCTCACTGTGACTAGAAATATAAGTTGGCCCATTGAACGATTGAAAGTGTGCATTTATAATAAACTTATATAATATATTTTTTAAAAAGTAAGGAATGTTTATGTTCAGGTACACTTTTTTATTCAACATTTTTCAATTAATTTTGTTAAGTTACTGTTATAAACGACAACATTGTTAATTAAAAAAAATAAATAAGAATAATATGCAGTATGCTGCAACACGTATGTACATTACTCGACGTTTTTTGAAATAACAAAATTATAAAAAAATAGTATATACTTAATATACAGCGTGTCCCGCTGTAATGTCCGGAAAAAAATAAAATTAAAGAAATTGATTATTGCATAAATTTTGCAAATTTCAAATAAAGTGGTACATACAAATTAGCTACCCGCATTGTTAAAAAATATATCTAATTTTAATCCCCTGTGGATCCTAAATGACATCCCTGATAATATTTTTCGATATTGTCAAAAATTACGGTACTTTACTTTTGGCGACTAACAATACTTTTCTAAAAACTGAACAACCTGTATAAAAATTGACAAATATTTTAACAGTTTTGTCCGTTTTGGAACAAGCAGGAGTTTTTACAAAGAGTGACTTTTTGTCGTAAACCCACAAATAAAAAACTTCTTCCTCTTCCGGACATTACAGCGAGACACGCTGTATAAAAATGTTTGTTATTACCAAAAATTATTCGATTTTTTTCATACATGCAAAAAACGTCGAGTAATGTACGTGTTGCATACTACATATTATTCAATTTTTTTTAATTAACAATGTTTTCGTACTAAAGCGTCGATATGAACTTGAGCCTTGAATTTAATTTAAGAAGGAAACTATTCTATTAATTCTGCATTTTAGTTACCAGTGCTGTAGATATAGGGGAAGGGAGTTAATCCTCTTCGTGAAGCATAGCGTCTACATCTATGACTTTTTATACATACTCGTAGGTAACACTTGTTTATTTTTATACTATTGTAATAATAGGAATCAATATATATTTTATTTTATAATGAAAACTATCGTGATTGCTTTGAAGCAAACCTCAGCTGTTCACACCGAATGCGCCAGCCAAGTGTTTATTTGCCCTTGAGATAATGTAATTTATGAGTACCAAATTGTAGCCCGGGATGCCGAAACTAAGAGAGGGTGTTCTTTGTGACAGTGGTGCTATACTGTATGAATCAATAGAAAATTTACAATTATTCATTTTAAAACCTGTGTTTTCTATAAAAATTATTTCATGTGTGAATTTTGGGATACCCTCTATAAGAAAGAAACCAAGTGTAGTAAAAATACACACAGACAGAAATTAACATATTTACGCGCAAATTAAATAATGCATATATGGCTCTGTTGATATTTTTCAGTATCCTTATGGCTACAGTATTAAATAAATTATCATATAATTTCACATAATTGTTAATAGTCAGAATTGCGTTTTATTTACTTCTTGTATACTGAAAACATGTTACAAGAATTGGTACAGGGTTATTCACTATATTTTGACCACCCCTTTAACTTTTTTGTTGTAAGTGTTATAAAAAATGTGAAATATAAAAGTTGAACGACTTTTTATGAATTTTTCGAAAATTATAGTAGAAAAACAAATGAAGTCCAAAGAAAATGGCTGCGGATGTTAACTTTGTTAAGTTAAATGGAACACCCTGTATATTTTTACATATTTGGATAGAACGTTCCCTGTCGATCATAGCCATATAGGGTTTGTTGGGTCCACCTCTAACAATAAGCAAGATACTTTAAAAAAACGAAAAGAAGGTTTTTTATTAAGAAAATAATACATCTTGTAATTGTTAGACCTCTTTCAGGCATTTCTGCCTTTTCTCCAATTACGTAAGGATTTACAGATCTAGTTATAATATATTTTGATATATCGCACATTGATACGGTCCAAAATGCGTATAGGTAATGTAACGAAATCTCACTAATTAGGCCGTGAGAGTTCTAATTACTCATGGACATTATATGGTAGGTCGTGACAGTGACAGGTAGTAATATCTTGACAACATTGTTATTGATTGACGGTATGTATTATTATTTAATTAAAATAGGTCACACAGAAGTAGAAAATTATTTAGAATTAAAATAGAGTATGGAAAAGAACTTTGCTCTATTTTAATTCCTATAATATTTCAATTTTCTACTTCTGTGTAACCCATTTTAATTAAATAATAATATAAACTGTCAAACAATAACAATGTTGTCATGACATTACCTGTCACTGTCAGGGCCTACCATATAACATTGTCCATGAGTAATTAGGCATCTCAGGGCCTAATTAGTGAGATTTAGTTAAAATAACTATACGCATTTTGGACCATATCAATGTCCGATCTGTCAAAATATATTATAACTAAATATGTAAATCCTTACGTAATTGGAAAAAGGCAGAAATGTCTGAAAGAGGTTTAACAAGATGTCTTATTTTCTTAATAAAAAACCTTATTTTCGTTTTTTAATAGTATCTTGCTTATTGTTAGAGGTGGACCCAACAAACCCTATATAACTATGCTCAACAGAGAACGTTCTATCCAAATATGTAAAAATATACAGGGTGTTCTATTTAAGTTAACAAAGTTAACATCCGCGGCCATTTTGTTTGGACTTCATTTGTTTTTCTATTATCATTTTCGAAAAATTCATAAAAACTCCTGCAACTTTTATATTTCACATTTTTTTATAACTCTCAAAACAAAAAAGTTAAAGGGGGGTTCAAAATATAGCGAATCACAGACAGACTGTACAGATTATGGAATTACGGAATATCATCCTCACTCATCTTTATATTTTGCAATCGATTGACGTGCGGATTATTTTTTTACGTTTATCTTTCGGAAATGTTATGAACATAACTTGCAAAAATTGTATGTAATTTTTTTATTTATTCGTGCCATAACAGTATTAAACCTATGTTTAATATTTCTTATAATTTATGTTGATTTGTTATTATATTTGAATGTCAATTTTTCTATGATTTAAATTATTTTTGAAACTAAAATTTATGCAAAAAAAAAGAAATTGTACTTCACAAAAAGGGATAACCCCCTCGAATCTACGGCACTGGCAACT